ATCTCATTGAAAGGAACAGGTATATTATACATAATGTTCATCCTTTGTATCTTATATTCTAATGTTTGTCATATCTCCTCGCTGACAGACTGTGCTGTTTGTCCGTGTCTCCCTCAGGTCAGAGAAATACTTTGAGGACGACCCGTCCAGCTTCTACGCCACTCTGTTTTCTTCCTCAGAGAGGGTGAGTGCGGGTTTGTTTGTGGGTGGTTGGCGGGTGCTCTGGTGTGGTTTGCTCCTTCTTTTCTATCAAATATCTATCGTTCTTATCTCTCCTCCTTCTTTTTTGTGTTTGTTACTCTCTTGTAACACCTCTAATCTTCGGCAGTTATGTGACCTTATTGTGTTGCAAATGCCGTAAAACTCGTACTAAAACTAAAAATACTATCTCTCCTCCTTTTTTGTGTTTGTTACTGTCTTGAAACACCTTTATTCCTCAACACCTACTTGACCTTATTATGTTGCAAGTGCTGAAAAAGTCTTACTAAAATTACATTGTGAGGCATCGTGGTGGAATCAGACTCTCGTCAATTTTTTGGCATGTAGAGTTATTGATATCATCGTAAAGCTTGTTCACCTGTCTTTATTCGGATGAAAAAAAATATCCATTTATCTTGAATACAAGTCAAGATATTTGCGAAAGAAGGAGGTGGGGTCACCTGTTTTCAGAGGTAAAATTACTGAGAAAATGGCCGCCAAAGATAATTTTTTCCTCAGCTTAAGAGTCCGTGGTAACTGAAAATTTACATTGTTGTGCCTTTCATTATCGTTTTTCAGAAAAATCCACACAGAAATGAGTTCTTTAATGAGCATGAAAGGTGTTGAGCCAAAAAACAAAAATTTGATAAAAATTCACAAACCTGCGGGAAAAATGCAAGTTTCTTCATTTTGATTATTTTGATGAGAGCCTGATTCCACCACGCTGCCTCACATTTTACAAGTGTAGTCTCTTTCTGGTATCATTATGATATGTTAGTATTGTAAGGCAGCGTGATGAAATCAGGAGCTCGTCAGAATACAGAAATCGGAGAAACATTTTTTTCCGCCAGTTTGGACCTTTTTATCGAACTTTTATTTTTTAGCTCAACCTCTTTTACATCCATGTAAAAACACTTTTTGGGGTCTCTCGTGGCCTAGAGGTTAAGGTGTTGGCCTCTCATTCAAAAGGTCCCGGGTTCAAATCTGGGTAGCGACCAAAACATTTTCTTCTCTAAATTTGTCTCCTTTCACCTGATCTCCTGCTCTCTAGCAATGTTCTGTCGTCTGCTTTCGTCTCCTCTTTCTTCCCCCACCCTCTCACCTCCTTTGCCCCTTCCTTTGGACTCCTGATTCTTTCTGCAGCCTTTCTATTAGTAGCTTCTTCTTACTGCTGTCTTTCTGCCACACCCCCGATCTTCTGAAAACAGGTGACCCCCACCTCCTTCTTTCGCAAATATCTCGACTTGTATTCAAGGTAAATGGATAGTGTTTCATCCAAATAAAGACAAGTGAACAATCTTTAAGGCGATACCAACAACTCTACATGCTCAAAAATTGACGAGAGCCTGATTCAACCACGCTGCCTCACATATGTTTTTGGATATGTGCACTGGTGTGATTTGCTCCTTCTTTCCTATCAAACATCTATGATCCTATCTCTCCTCCTTCTTTTTTGTGTTTGTTACTCTCTTGTAACAACTCTAAACTTTGGCATTTATATGACCTAACTGTGTTGCGAGTGACGTAAAACTCTTACAAAAAACAAAAAAAATCCAACGCAAATGCAGTAAAACTCTTACTAAAATGAATGATTCCATCCCCACAGGCTGCCTTATCTCCCCTCATCTTTTTCTTTTGTTACACTCTTGTAACACCTCGAATCTTTGGCACTTATATGACCTAATAATGTTACAAGTGCCGTAAAACTCTTACTAAATAAAACAAATGACTCAAATCCTACAGGCTGCCTTCCACTACCAGAACGGCGGGCCTCTGAGGGGAGGTAACCCCGTGAGCACGTCCAACGTGCGAGCGGCGCTCACCGCCATGGACCAGAAGTTGTTGACCTTGAGGGAGAAGTCGGACTTCCTGGAGGTGTATCGGCTGCTGCTGCTACGGTCGCTCATCTCGGACGTGAGTCGTGGATTTGTTTAGATCACTTCAGCATGTATTTCAGTTGTGTGTCCATCGTACTTTTAACTCATAGAAGATTGGGTCGATAGTGCCGTAAAACATCTACTCAATCAAAACAACTCATAGAAGACACGGATCCTGCCCATTTGAATGTTTGAAAAAGGCTTGTTGACCTCGTTATATCCATACGAATTTTCCGGTTCAGTTCTTTTTCTGAAACTTAAAAAGGCATAGATCAACATTTATATCAATATGAAATTTCCAATTTTGTGTTTCTGGTTTGTGCATATGGGCTCGAAATGTACCCCCCAACATTGACTTGATCTGTTTTTGGTCAGACAAGTGTGTCTGACGCGTCCTTAAAGAGTTAACCCACTTGAGCCTGAGTTATTTTTTACCCAACAACCATTGCAGCCTGACAGTTTTGTGGTATATTGAATCGTTATCCACAAAAAAACTGAAAGCTATCGTAGTTTTTAAAATGCAACAAAAGAAAGAAAGAAAGAAAGAAAGAAAGAAAGAAAGAAAGAAAGAAAGAAAGAAAGAAAGAAATGCTGTCGCAGGTAAAGAAAACTGCATCTAATTTGTCCCAATAGTTTTTATTTTATCAATATGTTGAAATGGCAATGTCTCAGGATTATGCAATTTTTTATTTTTTTTAGCTCAATTTGTAATAAAATCATCTATCAGAATGCAGGGGGGAGCGACTTAGTCTGTGGGTGGACTTCTGGTGCTTATATGACCTTATGCAGTTGCGAGCGATGTAAAACCTGTACTAAAAAAAAGACGGTCCGTTACAGCTCAAAAAGTATCGCCCATAACTTCACCTAATTTGTTATGGAATGAAACAAGCGGATAAACTGTTTGCTCACTGCCTCCCTTAGCTTGTAATTGAAAAACACCAGAGATATCGATTGATAAAGCGCATCCCGCAAATACACGGTATTAAGCCACTGGGCCAACCTCGTGCCTCGTAAATATACGGGAATAGGCTCAAGTGAGTCAATACAATACTTGTTTTGTGGTGGTAAAATGTGAGGCAGCGTGGTGGAATCAGGCTCTCGTCAATTTTTGGGCAAGTAGAGTTATTGGTATCATCTTAAAGCTTGTTCACTTGTCTTTATTGGATGAACAAAATATCCATTTATCTGAAATACAAATACATGTCGAGATATTTGAGAATGAAGGAGGTGGGGGTCACCTGTTTTCAGAGGTAAAATTAGTGAGAAAATGGCCGCTTAAGAGTAGTTATTTCCTTAGCTTAAGAGTCCGTGGTAACTGAAAATTTACATCTTTTGTGCCTTTAATCAACGTTTTTCTGAAAAATCCACAGAGAAATGAGTTCTTTAATAGGCATGAAAGGTGTTGAGGCTAAAAGCAAAAATTTGATAAAAATCCACAAACCTGCGGAAAAATGCAAGTTTCTTCACTTTGATTATTTTGACGATAGCCTGATTCCACCACGCTGCCTCACATATGATTTTTGTCCCTTACATGACCAAAACTGAGTCTATAGTGCCGCAAAACACCTACTCAATCCATCAGTCAATCATTGTATTTCAAAAACACCACCTTATTTTTTTTTTTACATTTGTCGTTTGTTTCTGTGTGAGTGGGCGGGTGGTTGGTGGGTGTTATGCTGTGGTTTGCTCCTTGTGTCCTTACATGGGTAGGAGAGTGGTTGGCAGGTGCTCT